AAAACGGCGCTGACCCTGGACTTCGGGTTAACAAGCGAGTCCATCGTCGCCTCGTGCGGGGAAGGGCGGCTTCCACTCAAATACGCTTCTTGGGCCCAGGCTCAGCGGACGCCTCTGCGCCCCCTGCCAGGCTGGGGGAGTTGCTGCTTCGGCGTGTTGTAGCCCAGCCCAGGAAACGGGTGAATTCAGCAACCAGGTCAGCGCTTCGTGCGAACGGAGCTCCACAAGGATGAGCGGAGATTGAGGGATGCTCTTCGCAGTACTATCATGACCTCCTTCTCAGCCAGCGTTTCTGTTTTAGATTTAATGCCGATTTTTTAAAACTCTAAATCACGGCGGCCAACCATAGCGATTTCCAGGCGTGTGGACTTCAGCCCCCACAATTCCCCAGCCAGCATGGTCATTGATGAGAATTCTGGGAGTTGAAGCCCACACATCTTAAAGTTGCCGAGCTTGAGAAACACGGCTCTGAACACAGTATTTCGGCGTTGGGAGGCCCTTGGGTTCCATGGCGTACCTGAAGTGGTGGTCACTACATCCGACTCCCCTCCCCCATTCCTCACTCGACGGGCTTCACTAGGATTCCTCTCCTCCTTCCTTTTAATCCCTTCTCCTCCCTGATTGGTGCGCTGATGGGCCAATGAGAAGGCTCCGCCGCGCCGATTGGAGGACAAGGATTTTACCCAGAAGGCATCGCGAGCCTGGGTAGCTGGAGGGATGCAGCGGAGGGAGAGACCTCGCGTCGCCCGGGGCGGAGCGGCGCGCCTCGGTCGCGGGGTCGAAGGGAGGCGCGGGCCCGGGTAGAGCCCCGGCCCGATCCTTGATTTCCTTCCGTGAGATCGACTGAGGGGAAAATGGGCGGGACAGAGCCGAACCGCGCCCTTCGCGCTCATTTGCATCCTATTTGCATGTCATTTGCATGCCCCGTTTGAAAAGTGAGCAGGCCAGAATTGCATTAATTGCAGCTCCGAGCAGCATGGAATTTACTCCAGTGTAAGTGTGTATAAAACCTGACTTCCCGTTCTTGTAAATCGGAACCACTCTTTTAAATCTATTTTTATTAAATGTATGCGTTGCCCGACTCCCAGCGACTCTGGGCGGTTCATAAACGGTTAAAAACACATGAAAACAGGAAAGCCAGACACAAAAAACGCGCTTTGGGCCAATGGCTGCAAAGCTGTTTCTGCAGGTCTCCGGATATTGCCCAGAGGGGAAAGTGAATTCTTGGGTCCGGTTTTAAGAGAGGCCGTGTTGCCCACCAAAGCGAGTTTTCCTAGGCTGCCTTTCAGCACGGTTTAAAATCTGATTCAGAATGAAGGTAACGTTACAGTCCGAGAGCGGAAATGAAAGAAACCACAGAATACAGTCCTGAGTCCCGTAATGGTTTCTGAGCAGCGAAGTGTGTAAGAAACAAGGCCTCTTTTATTGTTTTTTCTCTTTCAAAGGGTGGAAAAAGCGATCAAGCCAATCGACCAGAGATCAGTTCATCAGATCTGTTCAGGCCAGGTGGTGCTGAATCTGTCTACTGCCGTGAAAGAGCTGGTGGAAAACAGCCTAGATGCTGGTGCCACTAATGTTGGTAAGTTACTTGTTGCTTTAAAGTTGTTAAATCTCGGCTGTTTTAGTCATGCTGTTGCTCCCTATTGGTGTTTGGAGGGAAGAAAGCAGGAAAATGTCTGTAGAGATTTAATCTTCATTATTTGTTTTGTTTTTTGTGTCGTTTGTAGAAGTGAAGCTTAAAGATTATGGAACAGATCTTATTGAAGTCTCTGATAATGGCTGCGGTGTAGAAGAGGAAAACTTTGCAGGCTTAAGTATGCTGCATTTCGTGCATTTTTCATAGGCAAAGAAAAATATTTTGGACAACTTTTGTTCTGATACAATTTTTACTTGTATCCAGTTGCAGATTTTGAATCTGGGAAAGCTGACGTAGTGCTTTTGAAAACAAAACAATAATTCACTGTGAAGCATGTCTATTCATTTTTAATGTTATTTACAGTTAATACATAGTTCTTTCACAAAGAATTACTTTTATCATCCAATCTTAAAAAAAATAAGGTCGCTGTTTGGTGTGGTGAGATGTTTGAAAACTGAACCTCTTGGATTGTTGTTATTCTTTTCTTTGTAATGCAAAGTTTGGCAACCTGATGTTTGTGGGTGCCTGGGCACCCCAAACAATGCCTGCACCTAAATTATATATAATCATTTAAAAATGTGCTAGGATTAGCATCGCCTTGCAACATTTCAGTGGGTTTTTTTTTCCGCAAGATCTCTCAAGATTTGGGAGTGAGATCACCAAGCTCTCATGAGGTTTAACAATGGTGTGAGATTGTGAGAGGAGGGTGAGAGCCCTTCAGCTCCTTCCTTGCTTTCTTTTCCAGCATTTCCAAACCACCCCAGTCAAATGACCTGGTAGGGTACAAAATAATCAATACAATAAACATCAATTAATAACCTTTCCCTCATCCTCCAAAAGTGTAGGAAAATTAAACAGTCACTATTTGTTCCTTGCTAGGGGCCAAAGCCCTGTTAAAAATGTATAATTTTCAGTGCCTTCTGAATTGCCAGGAAAAAGGGGAGCCAGTGCACCTCTGGCATCAGTCTGTCCCATAATGGGGGGCCAGCCCAGAGAAACCCTGCCTCCTGGCCCATCCTCTTCTTACTTCTCTTAAGAGATACATATCTCTTCTAGCACTGAAGCATTATACTTCCAAGATCCAAGATTTCTCTGACCTTATCAATGTGGAAACGTTTGGTTTTCGAGGTGAAGCTCTGAGTTCCTTGTGTGCGTTAAGGTAAGAAGCTTGTCCATGTGGGAAGTGTTCTAGCTAGAACGGTTGGTGAATCTTATGCCAGCTTCAGTCAGGAAAGCTTGCTTCCTTGCTGTAAACAAAGGGGAAAACATTGCATAGATCTCCAGCTCCCATCTCAGCTTATACAGAGTAATTTGGGCAGAGCAGATCTATCCCCAGCATAGCAGCAGCCTTTGTACACTTAAGAGGCAGAAGGGCCCTTGAGCTCTGTATGACCTAGACCAGGACAAGCGTGTGCAGGTTTATTCTGCTGAACCCAGGTTTGTGTGGCTTCATTCTCTGTGTGCCCTTGTGTGGGGAGGGAATGCTTTGTGTGCATGTATGCAAATGGGAACTGATTAATTTTACAAACGGGAGACTTTCCTTTGCAGTGAACTATTCTTAGTTGCTAGCCATTAATAATTAGCTTCCTTTGCTAATTATTTAAATGTTTAATTTGTTGGGTTGGCCTTACCCTTTTTGGGGTGATGGCCTCTAGTTGTCCACGTACATATATGTATATAGTACAACATAATGTAATACCTTTACTTTGTTCTTTGACTAGCAGAAAGTAAACACATAGTGACTATGCAAGTAATGATTATATAGGTAGTCCTCGACTTATGACCATTCATTCAGTGACCGTTCAGGGTTACGATGGCATTGAACTAGTAGCGGCTACGACCAGTCCTCAGAGTTCCAGCCATCCCGGCACCCCCATGGTCATGTGATTGCAAGTGGGGCATTTGGCAACCAGTTCGCACTTACGACTGGTTGCAGCACCCCGCGATCACGTGATCACCATTTGCATCCTTCCCTGCCAGCTTCCCCAGAAAGTCAACGTCTCGCCCTCCCCGGCCCCTCTGTGTTTGCGCCGTGCTGGCAACTCACACACCCCATTGCACCCGCCTCCCTGACCCGCACCATGCCTCTCACACACCCTCTCTGACCCGTACCGCTTGCGCACCCCCTCGCACCCTTCCTGACCAATCCCACACCTCTCGTGCACCCCCTCGTGCCCTCCCCCACTTGGCAGTAGTCACTTACCTGCCTGCCGGCTTGCTTGCTTGCAAACCACCTGGGCCTTGCAACTTCCTGGGCGGCTTCCCCACTGCCTTTGCTTGTGGGAAGCCAGCAGGAAGTTGCCTTACCTAAGGACCGTGGGATTTGGTTAATGATGGCAACTAGGACTAGTTGGGTATAATGGTGGGCACCATGTGGCAGATTTTTGCAGGCGTTGAGTGCTTGCCTTCGGTGGGGAGAAATCTCTAAGACTGATTCAGTATCAATTGGCAACTCCAGCTGACCAGGTGGGGAAAATGGGCAGTATATTGGATTTCTCTGCAGGTGCTTAATCTTCTTCCGCCTCATCTTTTGGGAGGATTGCCTTAACCCCAGGCTTGTCCCTCTTCTGTATTCGAGTCTTTCCTCGCCTCTCTGCGTTTCCTTGTTAACCGTGAAAACGAACGCATTCTTTTGCTCAGCAACGTTTCCGTTGTCACCTGTCACAAGTCTGCCGATATCGGGACACGACTGGCGTTTGATCACAGCGGGAAGATCACCCGGAGAGTCCCTTTCTCCCGGCCACAGGGGACCACTGTCAGCGTCCAGCAGCTGTTTCATACTTTGCCAGTTCGACACAAAGAATTTCAGCGTAACATAAAGAAGGTAGGAGTCAGTGACCTTGCTTTTAACTCTGGCAGGAAGAAAGAAACCTTCCTGAGGAACTGAAATGAGGACAAGTACCACTAAGGTGACTAAAAATAAAGCACTGCCAGCCCTTGCTGAGATGTAAATTGAGTAAATAGATTTTTTTTTTTAAAAAAAGGACTTTCAGCCTGAATGCATGCGTAGATATCTTTTTGTGGTTCTAAACCCTGGAGAGCATAAAACCCTGAAAAATGTACCATGCTTTACATATGTTATTGTAAGGTTTGAATACTGCAGTTTGACTGCTGGGCAATAGATAAGCAGGATAAAATATATGCAAAAGGAAAATCTTAAATGAGCATCTTTTTTAGATTTGATGCCCAAATTGGCATGTACATTCATTTGCGCCACACTGTTCCACCTCCAATAAAAAGAGAGGCTTGTTGAAAAAGAACTGTACAAAGATTGCAATAAAGAATGCCTTGGTTTTTAGTTTTTAGATGCCTGTAATAGCAACAAGGAACCTAAGCGTGCTTAGTGAACTTCTCGTGGTAGATTTAAGTTTAAATAGATTAAGATTCTCAGCTCATTATTGTCCTCATACTGTTCATGATCACTAAATCTTGTTACATACTGTATGTCCAAGTTTTGTTTTTTTTTTGGTGGAGATGTTAACTAGGAAACCGTTAAAAAGATGAGAGGAAGGCATTGATCACAAATTGTATGTTGGGGGAAAAAACCTAGGCAAGATCTATTCTTTATAATTATGGTTTCACTCAAAAATAACTTTTTTTCTATTTTACATGCCCAAAGGAGTTTGGAAGAATGGTTCAGGTATTGCAAGCGTACTGCATCATTTGCACTGGGATTCGAATTAACTGCACCAACCAGGTTGGTCAAGGGAAAAAGCAAGCTGTGGTGTGGACCAGCGGAAGCTCTACTTTAAAGGAAAATATTGGCGCCATATTTGGACAAAAACAGGTATTTTTATGTATTAATTGTTGCAGTTGCTGTGGCTGTTGCTGTTGCTGATTGGAAGAAAACTGCCTTTGAATATTACAGCTTGGGAGATCTAGTTAAATAGAGGGGTTAAAATTCAGTGGAAATCAATACTATGCATTTGAAACTGTATTCTGTTTGGTGACCTGTTATTGTATTCAGTGATGGGACAAAATCTGCAATAAGGCCAGGAACTCTATTTTGCATTAAAAGTTAACACAGTCACAAATTTTTATTTATTTATTTATTATTAAATGTGTATGCCGCTCATCTCCCCCAATGGGTGACACTGGGCGGCTCACAATTAAAAAACCAAAAGCCTATAACAATTAAAATAACCCATAAATAATTAAAAACTGAATCCCTTAAAATCCCCTATAAACCAAACCCTATACATAAATACTAAATATAACAATATAACAAATATAATCATCTTTTGGGTGGAAGAAAAATAAATCACATAAGCATAAGCCATATCTAAAGAGTGGTTGGGTTTGGGGGTCAATTGTTTTAAAAACTGCCTTATTTACAAATTTTTGATCCTCTGTTTAAAAACAACTCCTCTAAGGACTGCAACGAAGCTCTACATTTGCCAACAGTCATGCTTCAAGGAAAAAGTAATAATATTAGCTAAGTGTTAGATCTGTTCCAATGTCTTCAATCAAGTTGGCTGAAGCCTAAATTCAAAATAACGTTTCTGGGGAACCTGTGATTTTGAATCCACTGGCATTGCATTCAGGTTTCTGACATGTGTAAGTTCCCCGTGGGCTTGCCAATTCAGCTCTGTAGGGTATACTCTGCCATTTTGGGGTTGTCCAAAACTTAGCACATGGCAGGAAGCACCATGTTTATAAAATGGCATAGGTGGGCTTCAAAGATGGACAGCAGGAAGTTTGGCCTGTATATCGCATCGAGTCATAATGTGGTTGGTTGACTCTGGCTGCGGAAGAGCAGGCTGTTGAGAAACAGTTGCAGGATCCTGTGCTCCCTCCCTCCCCTCCTGTTGGCTCAGACCCAAAGGACTCATTAAGCACTGTACATGAAAAGAAAACAAACCAAATCTTAGTTGCCAAAGGAAGGGAATGTCGTCCTTGCCGACCTCAGACTTTGCAGGCAATAGCCAATGTGCTGGCTGCAGAAACCAGACCCCTCACTAGAGCCTACATCAGACAAGCAGGGATGGAAACGGTAGAAGGGGCTGATTCTCCTTTGGACACCGAGGAGGCTACTACTCTGGTAGAGGCAGGGTTCCTGCCTAAGCCTGTTGTTAAACCAGAGAAGAAGGTAGAACAGGCAGAAAAGGGGCTCGGTCCAGATAGTTGGGCCAATCTTGTATTAGAAATGTTGAGGCAACAGCAAGAGGAAAGGCTTCGATTAGATTTGCATTATGGTTTGCAAACTAGGGCATCTGGGAATTCAATTTCAGTATAGTTTGTTATTTCTTTTCCAGGTACAAACCCTGATTCCGTTTGCACAGCTGCCTCCGAGCGGAGAAGTCTGTGAAGAATATGGCTTGCATTTTTCTGATATGCCCACTAAGCTTTATACGTGAGTAAAAAAAATGGGAAAGACCTTTTCTGGATCTCTTTCCTCTTTGTTGTTCATCTGGGCTTAAAAACCAGAGATTCAGGGCTGCCAGTCACAACATATCCTTAGTTTTGGTTGTCGTTCTGAGCCAAAAGGGAGGGCTGTTTTGAAACCACCTCCTTTAATTTCTGCATTGAGCACTCAGATGAAGCAATCCCATCTAAGTGAAAGGGGAGCATGATTTTCTTGGATAAAAGTGTGGATCTTTTGATAAACAAGCTGAACAGAGGGATCGTGTGCTTTTCAAATCGAGGGGCTTTGGATTAAAAGAGTTATTCATTATACTTCAGGAATATACATTGTTCTTGAGCAAGTGCAGGTGAGAATTTCCACAAGCCTCATCTGGGTCTTTTTAAAAATACGTCAAATGATCAGCTTTTTTAATCTTTGTTTTTATGGGACTCTCTTGTTGACGTGTTCATTTTAAACAGCATCACAGGATTTGTTTCCCGTTGCAATCACGGCGATGGGAGAAGTGCTGCGGATAGGCAATTCTTCTTTATTAACCAGCGGCCGTGTGATCCAGGAAAGGTACATTTTTCTTCTGCAGTGGGATGAGTTCTTAGTCTTAACTTCTCTCTGGCACTCAGTCTCTCTCTTGGCTCTGCTCTCAGAGTTGCAATTGTATTTTAATCCATATTGTTTAAGATTCTGAATGACCACCTTGCTGTTGTCAAGAATGTATGGTGTTTTCATTTTGCATTTCACCTCATCTTATTGAATATGTTTTTCTTCCAACAGTATTTTTAGTGCCTTTTATTGTAAATTGCCCAGAGAGCTTCAGCTGTTGGGTGATATAAACGTTAAACTTTTTTTTTTATGCCTTTGAATCATTTTTTGACTTCTGGCGACTGCCTGGACAAGTCCCTGCAGTTTTCTTGCAAGATTTTTGAAGTGGTTTGCCATTGTCTGCTTCCCAGGGCTGGCAGAGAGGGACTGGCCCAAGGTCACCCAGCTGGCTTTGTGCCTAAGGTGGGACAAGAAGTCACAGTCTCCCAGTTTCTAGCCTGGTGCCTTAACCACTATACCAAAGTGGCTGTCAGACATTTTAACAGATAATTAAAATAAATAAACCACACTGGTTTGGAACCAATGTTTTAAGTCTCAACTGAATTAAACTGAGCAGGAATAGACATCTATTCTTCTTCTTTTTCTGAACAGGTTTCCAAAGTTGTGAATGAAGTGTATCATATGTATAATAAGCACCAATATCCATTTATTGTTCTTAACATCCGTGCAGAATCTGGTGAGTCTTATGTGCTGCTGTTTCCTTTTTTTAACTAAATGTGTAAGCTTGTCAGTTGTGTCCCTGACTACCATTTGGAATGAATCTCCTGTTTCTACACAGCTTGATTGGAAATACAGAATTTTATTTCAGCAGCTTTTATTTTCAAAACAAAGTTGTCAGCTGCCTTAAAACACAAAGAGACTACAATCTGACAATGTAGATACCAACTTGGAAAGTTTACATGGTCTGAAGTTTAACTTCCCATTGAAAGACAGCGGGGAGGGTCGGATCAAAGCCGACCATTTCCATCACATCAGAATATATTTTTAAAACGGTGGGTTGGTGCTATCTCCTAGATATTAGAATGTCCCCCATGGTTCAGGTCTTCCAGAGAGCAGTGAAGACAGAATTGGTCCAGAGGGCCTTTGGTGATTGATGGTCATCTTGATGGAGATGGTGTTGGGACCATTTGATAGAAGTCCCATTTATGATGGGTTGGAGGAATTTTCTGAATTTGGTTTTTCATTTGAAGATGCTTCCATACCCTCTTAGATAAGAACTTCAGAGCTATGACCTTGGAGAGGCATCTTCTACAGCTAACCAACAAACTTCCCTTCTCCAAGACCAAAGCACAGGTAACGAAATGTCTGCAAATAAAAATCCAAGTTCAGAGAAGTTCTCCAACCCAAATGATTGGATATATTCTCTACCCTCCCAGTTGTGTTTATGGTTTTTGAGTTATTGTGGATGGTTTTCCCATGGAAGTTTTAATCTTTAACGTTGGACTTATAGCCATTATTCTAATATTTGAGTGCTGACTGTGGAGTTTTTTTTAACGTATGTTGCTGCTGCTGATGTTTAATTCGATTGCAAGCAATATTCCAGTTTTGAATTAGCCCGTTGACAAGAAGGCTGGCAATTTCAACAGTGTGATAAAAATTCAGTACATGCTCAGGAAAATAAAGCAGCTGCTACTTTTGTTAACCAATGTCTAGCAGAGGCTTCTGCTATCTCATGACTAAAGCCAGCTTTTCAAATTCACAAGACAGCAAGGGATAGTCTTGCTTTTTGACAGATGTAACCGACAAGTGAACGAAATGCAAGAGAGAACAAAAACTCTGAATGATTTTCCCACGAGATAGAATGGGGGAAACTGTGGTCTCCCAGTTAGAATCTGGAAAGGAACTTTTCAGTAATCTCTCTCTCTTAAGAGAGAACAAAACACAGTATCAGAGAAACTTTGCATGAGCACCGCACGTCACAAAAGGGAGCCCATCCGTAAGTGCAAAGAAGGAGGAGAACCAAAAAATGGTGAATATTTTTGATTTCAGGATGCGTGGACGTCAACGTGACGCCGGATAAAAGGCAGATCTTGCTCCAGGAAGAGAAGCTTCTATTAGCCATCCTAAAAACGTCACTGATGGCCATGTTTGGCAGGGACGTTAATAAATTGGAGGTCAATCAAAAGCTGATGGATGTTGAAGGTAGGAAGCCAAGTTGCTATTTAAAGTAAAACCCATTTCCATTTTTGTATGCAGCTTTTAAGACAGATTGATAACAATGGCTCAGACTTCCCTGATCTGCTAGCTGGAAGATTATGATCCATTGCAGATAGAGTGCAGCCGGGTGGAATTTTATGAAGTGTTTTATGATGATTTGTTAATATGCTTCTATATTGTTTTTTTTCCTGTTGTATATTTTCCTTATCATACCGTTCTTTTTTATTTTTTATCTTTATTTTTGCCCAGAGTCATGTATATGAGATGGGCGGCTCTATCAGTTTTAATAATAAATAAATCAGTGGGAAGTCGAAGACCAGGCTAGCAAAATCACCACCGTTCTCTTTTCATACTTTTTGGCAGGGAACTTGAAAAGCATTCTCCAAAACGAGAGAGAAGTGCGTCCCTCGGAAACGTCATGCAGTTTTTTGCCTCCAAATCTGGGCGGGAAAGCAAAAATAGACCTGGCCGTTGCTCGACTGAGGAAATCCTTTTCTCTTTCTCAAGGGAAGACATTTGCTTTTCAAGAGGCTGAAAAAGTCAAACAGAAATGCAGGTCCCCTGACCGGGGAAAACTCCAAATGTTTGCTGGCATTTCAGCCTCTCCCTCAAAGAAAACTGCTTCTAACAAGGAGGCTGAAGATGGAAGCGAGGTCGATTCAAGGAGATCCCCGCTTGCAGGCAGGAAGTTGGAGAAATCAATTGAAGACAGCGATTCTGGTTTGGGCAGTGCCTCTGCTGGGTCAGATGGGAGTTTGAGCACCCCAGAAATGAGTGCCCATCTTAGAGCTGAAAGTGCTGTTAGTTCCCCCAGCAAAGAACCCCGTGTTTTTAGAGAAGAAATTCAGAGCAGCGACTGTGGATCTAGTGGGGTTTTCTGGCCCTCTGAATCAAACCAGAGCAAAGGGAATTTATCCCCCAAAGCAAAACGTTTTAAGAACAGCCAACCTTGTTCCCCAAAAGCCAGTTCCTCGGAGATGACGCGTGAGCAGGACTCTGGAGCCCAGCCCTTGTACGACGTCCCAGTGAAAATAGAAAAGAGAACAGTGCCTCTGACCATCTCTTGGAGCACCTTGGCAGACCGAATCCAGAAGCAAATTAGGCGCCAGGAGACCAAAGGGGAAATGCTGAAATTCAGAAAATTTAGGGCAAAGATTAGCCCGGAGGAAAGCAAAACGGCGGAGGATGAGTTAAGAAAGGAAATAAGGTATTGGAGAGAAGAGAGCCATTCTAAAAAATAAGTGCTATTGACAGATGATAGCTTTGTACATTTATTTCTTTATTCATTTATTTATATTATAAATAACCGGAGACATGCTTAGATACCTGCATGGCTGAGGTGGATATTCTTATTTCCCTTTGTATATTTTGCTTTTCTGTATCATTTTTAATACTGATTTTTATATCGATTGTTTTATATATGTGTTGTTTTATTGGATTGTTGTACATCATCCAGAGTCGTTTTTTGTGAGATGGGCGGCCGTACAAACTTGATTAATCAATATTGTATTATATTATATTATTATACTTATAAAGATTCCTTTACAATCTGTCAGATTTATAGGCTGCCCTAACCTGTTATGACTCTGGGTGACTATGTAGTTATGGATATAAGCTAAATGTTATTCTGGCTGGGGAATTCTAGGAGTTGAAGTCCACACATCTTAAAATGGATGAGGTTGAGAAACACTGCTGGGAACAGTCGAACACATTTGGACATCATCAGGTTGAAAAAGGCTGCTTTGAAGAGCAGATGCATCTTACAGTCAACATATCTTTCTGTTTCTCCCTCTGCATACAGTAAAGACATGTTTGCTAAGATGGATATAGTTGGCCAGTTTAATCTAGGATTTATCATCACCAAGCTGAAATCAGACCTCTTCATCGTTGATCAGCACGCTTCAGATGAGAAATACAACTTTGAGATGTTACAGGAGCACACGGTCCTGCAGGGGCAGAAGCTGATCAGGTGAGTGTCTTCTCGACTGTCCCAGTTCACCCGTGGCTCATTTCAGTGTGGTTTCCTGAATTGAGCCATAGTTGGCTTGTGTTCATCCAACATGCTAGGCCATGAACAAGCAAACCGGGTCATAGCTGAATGTAGAGTGTGAACCGAGCTCTGAGCTAAATTAGCATTGTCAGTGCTGATTCTTTGCATTGTGATGTGCTGTGTTGCTTTTTACTGCCAGGTAGGCTTTCCCAGTCTGATAATCTCTCCCATCACCCACAGCCAGCACTGTCATATTCTCTCTGCTCTATGTATGCGCCTGTGAATCTCCTCCCTCCCCCAGTTTGTAAACTGATTTGGCTATACAAAAACAGGATACTTGATAGCAAATTTTAGATGAACAATAGTGAATGGCTCATATTGGGCTTTCAGTGTTTTTAATGTATTATTTATTTACACTCTCTCTCTCTCTCTTTCTCTCTCTCTCTACACACACACACACACACACACACACACACTCCCAGCTCCACAAGGGCTGCCTCAGATTTAATGGCTATTATTGTTTTTTTTCTGTGCCCCGCTTTTTCAGGCCTCAAAATCTTAATTTAACTGCTGTGAGTAAAAGTGTCTTGATGGATAATCTGGAGATTTTCCAAAAAAATGGATTTGATTTTGTCGTTGATGAAAATGGTGAGTTCTGGCCTACAATCTTTCCTAGTTTCTGTAAGGGAAATGGGGAGAAAGTTCTAGCATGGGGGAAACATCAGTTTCTTCCCTGTTATCCATTAGGAAACTGGAAAAAAAAAAAACCAGGTTGCCTTGCTGACTTAGATCTTAGCTGACTAAAATAGAATAAAAAGCAGCTTTTGAAATTGTCTTTCTAATTGTTTGGGGAGAGTTGCTGGAAAAATACTGTCTTAAAAATTCACTCTGGATTTTCTGTAGCACATGCGGGTAGTCTTGCTCCATTATTTTAATTGCAGATTGTCTCAGCTATGGAAGTATGAAACAACTTTCAAATAATTAAAATAGAAAAATCAGCATGTCAAACAATTTCATTTTAAAGTTGTCTGAAATAGTGATATTTAAACAGTCTTTGAAAGTGGGGTCCAATTGGATATTCTTTTACTGCCCCCCCAAAAATCCCCTAGGTTTAAAACTTAGCTCACAAGGTCTATCACGCGAGCAGCTGGGTTTGATGTTAAAATGTTCTCACTGTCTTTACACTGAGACCGTGTCAGTGATGTTATTTTAAAACCTTTCAGCTCCTGTAACTCAAAGAGTTAAGCTCATATCCTTACCAACCAGCAGAAACTGGACTTTTGGTCCTCAAGACATAGAAGAATTAATCTTTATGTTAAGCGATTCTCCAGGAATCATGTGCAGGCCATCCAGAGTAAGGCAAATGTTTGCTTCTCGGGCGTGTCGGAAATCCGTAAGTATTGCAGTTGCTGCAGACTGGGGCTTGGTAACCCTTTTGGATGGATGGGGACCCTGGACCTTTTCAAAACACTTTGGGGCAGCCTCCGAAAATGTTTACCCGCACAGGGCTTCATTATGAAGAGTCAGTGGGCCTTGCTGTACCCACTTTTTAAACTCCCTAAGGAAGTCTCTGGAGACCGTGAGGCCAAGGGGCATTCATGTAAATAAAGGTGACCCTAGAACCACCTCGGGGGTTTGCTTTGCATCAGGTGGGGTTCCCCTTTTGGTCACGGAGCCAAGGGAAGCATCCATAGGTGCCGGGTTCCCATGGAAGCTAAACAGACGGACCCTCCCATCTTTGGTTTCTGTTGCTATCTTTGATTCATTTTATTCTGCACTGTGATTTAATTATTTAGGCATAGAAGAGCCACTTAAGAAGATTTTCAGTTCTGTTAATTTGGGGTAGTTCTTGGTTGCCTTCCCAAGTCTCTTTGGGGTGATCCTGGAGTAGCTGGAAAAACAGGAGAACTCACATACTCTCCCTGCATTGAAGGGACCCCAATTACGTAGGCCCAACCTGCCTTCCCACTCCTGCGGTTTTGCAAACCAAGCAGCTTGGGTTTACGACAGAGTAAATGAATGAGTAGTTAAGTTGGAGAATATTGATTAACATCAAATGCCTCCTTCTTTTCTCAGAGTAGCCACTTAAGGAAAGTTCAGAGTCTTGCTCCTCTTTTAAATCATGTGGAAGATCTGCTCATTACATGACTTTCACAATTGAGCAGTTCTTTATAAAATCAAGCCTTTGGGGGTAAAAAGGAGAGGTCTGGGTTATATAGCTCTTTTCACTGGGCATGTCCTCTAGATCAGTGTTCCTCAACCTTGGCAGAATTCTGGAAGTTGAAGTCCACACATCTGAAAGATGCCATGGTTGAGAAACACTGCTCTAGACCACTGTTTCTCAATCTTGGCAACTTGAAGATGTGTGGACTTCAACTCCCAGAATTCCCCAGCCAGCATTCATGGACTTCAACTCCCAGAATTCTAGGAGTTGAAGTCCACACATCTTCAAGCTGCCAAGGGTGAAAAACACTGCTCCAGAAGTTCTCAATGAAAAGGACCTTGAGAGGGGTATTTCAAAGAACAAGGGAGCAGCCAAGCTAAAAGGAATGGATATTGACACTCCGACTTTGTTCCTATTACAGGTGATGATTGGAACCCCACTCACTGCCAGTGAAATGAAGAAATTGATCGTTCACATGGGTGAAATCGAGCACCCTTGGAATTGTCCGCATGGCAGACCCACAATACGACATTTGGTCAACCTGGACCTCATTACTCAAGAGTGACAGGCAGTTCATGCTGTATTAGCACTTCTTTATCATGGAACGCAATCGTGATCTCGTTTTAGAATCCCAGGTTCTTGATTTTGCTGGACCAGAAGCTTAAATCGTTATTTTGTGTTGCAAAAGAACATTTCTCTCTCTCTCTCTCTCTCTTTCAAAAGGACTGGAGACCCTCCAGGTGGTTCAGTTAATACGGACACAATACCTTTCCATCTCCTGCCTTCCGAAAGAAGACTTTTTCGCATTTATGTTGAAAAAATGGCCAGAAAACATAGTGTTGCCCTTCCTCTTTTTCCCCAAATGGGCTTGTTTTATGGCTGCCCTTATGGGAACATTTGTTTTCTGCCCGTGCTCTTCATTTTATTGATTTCCTCTTCCCTGTGTACAGAAAGAATTAAGGGCACATAACATACTCTGTTTGGAGGACCTCCTGTTTTATAGCAGACCCATTTTTAAAATAAAGATTCTTTTTAAAATACCTAAAAATTCTTTGTGCTTTAACGGAGTGGTTCTCATCTACAACCTAAAATGGGATGGCCAGTTCCTGTAAGCATAATACGGATGGTTAATGCCAAGTGTCAGTTTTACAGGACACTGGTGTCATGGCATTTTAGTAACTATGAGATGAAAGGCTTAAACAATTATTCTGTAGTAATCCAGTCTTTAGTAACTGGTTTATCTAATAGCGAATGAATGATAAAGTTTGAATCGATCAGTTACTTTATTACAAGCCACAGACCCATCATACAATTAGATCACGTACGATGAAGTAAGATAGAGAAAAGAGGAAAAATATAATAAGACTAAAACAATACAGCACTCTCAGGCTTTAGGGAATATGCTACACAGTACAGCCAACAATTAATTTCCCAACAATAATGCATAGATTCTACAGGCTGCTAATGTAAACTTTGCAACAATTTGAATTATTTAGGTTCCTGATCTACCAGATGACATTGGATACAGAATTCATTCAGATGTTTAAGGAACGGGCTAGTTAGAGGTGTTAAAACCTCCATGTATGTCCCTCTATAGAAGCTATAGTAGAAGCAGTGATTCTCTACCTCAGCAACTTGAAGATGTGTGGACCAACTCCCAGAATTCCCTTGCTAGCATGCTGGAGAAGCTTAAGCTGTGTGGACTTCAACTCCCAGAATTCCCCAGCCAGGACGCTAGCTGGGGAATTCTGGGAGTTGAAGTCTACATATCTTCGTTGCCAAGGTTGGGAAATACTGCAGTAGAGTAACACGTGGACCAGTGGTTTGATATTCCCAGGCTGGCAAGACACACCCTTTCTGCAAAATAGATTTTCTGAAACTTGCCCTCTAGGACAGGTGAAGGCAAGATGTCAAAACACAACAGCGTAAAGGTCCCGGTGATAAACCTGAAGTCTGGTATTAACTACCATACAGGCAAAAAATATAATGCATAACCATGAGAAGCCGCACCTGAGTTAATAGACTGGACACAGGCTGTGTCTGTTAGGAAAGTATTGAAGAATTAGTAGGGAAAATCTTGTTTCCCAAGATACTCCCTGATTTCCCCGAATAACTACAGTGACCCTATTTTCTTGGAAAAAATAGAGGTCCAACCTGAAGAAGGAGCAAATATGAAAGAGGTTCATCAGGATAAGAAAAGCCAATTGTTTTTGTTGATAACTTCGCTTTGCAAAGAAAAATTCAAGCGCAAAACCAAGAAAATAAAAAATGAAATAAATCCAGAGGAGAGCTTTCTGAAATAAAAGGACTGTCCTTTCTATAATAAAGGACGTACGGTCACTGTACGAGTAACAAATACAACATGGATTGGATGGTGAATACCTTTGGTTCAACGTTACTCACTATGTTAAACCAGGGTTCCTCAACCTCGGCAACTTGAAGATGGGTGGACTTCAATCCCCAGCATTCCCCAGCCAGCATGGCTGGCTGGGGAATTCTGGGAGTTGAAGTCCACCCATCTTCAAGTTGCCGAGGTTGAGGAACCCTGCTTTAAACAGACTCTGCCCAAACCGTTTTGTGAACAGTCACTCTACTGTATGCGAGTGACTCTCTGGCTCCTGTGTCACCAGGAAGCCCTGATTCCCCTTCTGAAATGGCATTAGTTTAGCATTTTCATCACTGCTTTCTCACATGGGGCACTATGGACCCTTTTGCAGTTTTGCAACTGGGCGGGGCCGGGTTTGGGCCTTTTCCCTGCCTCGAAACAAAAGTGGGCCTTTGCAAGTCAGAGCGAGTTTTCGCAAAGCTTTCCAAAGCGCAGGCAGGTGAACCCGGAAGGGGAGGCGGCCCAGGGCCCGCTCATCTCTTGGAGCAGCAAGGAAGGCCTCTCGCCCCGCCCAGGCCTGGGGTTGCTATGGCCACCACCCAGCCCTGCCTGCGGTTGCCATGGCCACTGCTCAGGCCTCAAACAAGGCCGCTCCCACTTGCATCGCAGGAAAGGTTCAGGCGGCCTTCCCTGCACATAAACCCACCACAGCCTTGCGGAGGGAGGCTGAGGGTGCAAAATAGCGGGGATTTCCAAAGAGGTGGATTTTATTTTTTCCTGGTTTTTTTCCCGGTCCTGAGAGCCAGTTCCCCAATTCCTCCTCCTGTTCCTGCGATGACTGGCGCTGTGATGGCAGATTTCTCAGCATCCCTCCAGGCGTGCTGATGGTTGTTGCAATGATTCAAGGGTGTTTTTTTTTATTACTATTATTTTATTCTTGTTCTTCAGTCATCCAGTTTCTAGGTGGCCCAAATCCGGATCAACTCTGGGTCTCTCTGCTTTCAAAAGGTGTTTTAAGGTTGCTTAGAAAGTCAGCTGGATTGTGTTAAAGAGCGTTTGGGATTTTTAAATGTTGCCCTCCGGAAGGGAAACGTTTTTTCAAAGGGATTTACAATCCAAATATTATTAAAAATAAAAACGATGAGCTAAATCCCCAGTTTTTAGAAAGGGATCTATTTTTTAAAAAGTGTGCTATGAGTACAGGGACCCTATTTTCTTGGAAAGAATAAAGGAGCAACCTGAAAATGGAGTAAACCTGAAAGAGGTTCATCAGGATAAAAAAAATAATAATTGTGTATAACTTTGCTTTACTTTTAATTATTTTAATTTATTTTTAATTCAAGAGCAGAACTAAGGAAAACTTTACAAAAATGCATATTCTAACAATAACATCTAAAAAGCATAAAAAGCCTTGAAGTTTTAAGCAGCGAGTATTAAAAAGGATTTCTGCCATCTGACTGTGCATTAAGGAGTCCCCTTTGTCCGGGAAAAGTGAAATGACCAAAATAAAGGACAAAAGGGAGTTATTGAAAAAAAGTAATGAAATCTAAAGGACAGCTGTCTGAAATAAAGGGCTGTCCTTTATAAGAAAGGACATATGCTATGAATTACATGCTAATAAAGCAATGTAAAATAAATGTAATATCTCCTGCTCGTATTGAGGATTTTATGTAAGTGATCTTGTAGCATAGAAATCCTGTTGTGTTGCAAATTTTTGCTATTTAGGGACATAGAAAACACTGCGAGAAGAATGACCATCTGCAGCAGTAACCTTGCTTACCTATGTTAGAAAGTAGTAAATTCTTCTAACACCTACGAAAATTGTAACTTTTTTATGTGTCAGGTTTTATTTATTTTACTAGATTTCTGGTCAATGACTGTCATGAAGTTTTGCTTTGCTTTGCTTTTACAGTCAGTATCATCGTTGCCCCTGTCCTGAATTAGTCAAAGAAGAAAATAAGTATTAAACTTAATAATTTTTTAAAGTTGGTCTTCTGGACCTATCTGAAGCTGGGGTGTGTATAGGGTATGGTCCAAAAAGTAAAGATGGTGGCCACGGTGGTGTGATCAAAGCTCTACCTGTTTTTTTTTATGCAACTGAGTTTATTTTAGCAGGGCAAGGAAGAAATTATGGGGAGATTTATGTTTTTAAATCTAAAGGGAAAACAGGAAAGCTTTGGGTACATAATTATATCACATGCTCCTCTGGATGCCTGGATATTTTGGACTTTAATTCCTATCAGTGCCAGCTAGGAATTGTGAAGTTTGTCCTCCCTAAACCTCTGGAGAACCTCAGCTTGGCTACATCAACTTATGGCATGTTCTTGCATCTCATTCAATCATTTCTCTCTCTGCAGAGCAGGCAGGTCTCCTAATGAAATATCTCTTTTTCCCGTCTTGAGATTAAAAATAGGAGCTGCAACTCTTTGCAAGGACAACTAATTCTGCCGTAAGTTGGAGCAATGGGTAAAGATAAGAAGAAAGACAGTAAAAAGGGGGAGAAGTCTACGCCTACTCCTGCCCATGACATGTCCATGGAATTAGCAACTTCCAACCAGAATGTCCCACCTCTTGCAGACCAGGGGGACGAACACTTGGCTACCCACGTAGCTTCCAAAGAAGAAACCAAGGACCCAGAGCCCCCTCCAGCCCCTGAACCCATTGAGTATGAAGAACCAATCCTCACACAACTCATTGTCGAAAGGTAAAGCCAGAGTTTAGCTAAAAATGGGGGAAGTCCATTGGGGATTGCTATCTGAGGAGTTTTTTGACCAATTTTGGGGTCTGAGTCCCTGCTCATGATTTTCTATTGTTCCCCAGCTTGTGCCCCCCAGATATGTTGGATCCTCAACATCCAGAATTCCCAACCACCTAGCTGAAATTCTGGGAGTCGTGATCCCCACATATCTGGGAGAAGGAAAGGCTGTCTTCTTTTTCAGTTTTAGATGGAGAGGCTAACCAGAGACTCAAATGACAAATGAAAGGGTTTTCACGCTATCGACAACATAGCATTCAAGCCATGTTTTGTTTTCACCATCTTTTGCCAAACCATCAGGGCCTGTTTTGCTCACTGTGCTACACCACCACAAACCAGGGTTAATAAATCACAATGGGTGAATTCATTCAAATGTAAAGCCAAAACCAACCAGGCTTGTTTAGTGAAATATGTGAAGCTGGTTTGCAGGTGGCTGCACATTTGCCATTTTCCAGTCTCGAGAAGATTCCTCTGGACAGAGAAGAAAAGCTGGCTAGGTTTAAGATTTCCATCACTGCTGCCTTTGGACCAGAAAATGTGCATTACAGGACCCTATGTTCCTTTGACCATGCCCAAAATGTCAGTGTTCACCATATGATTTATTAACACAGGTGAGTTTTCATCTTGAATTTATGTTCTTCATAGGTACGAGGGAGAAAAGGTCCGTGGATTATATGAAGGGGAAGGAACTGCCTATTTTCAAGGAGGCAACATATACAAGGTGACAACACCTGTCATAAATTTAAGGATATATAATTTCCTTTGGTGTGATAGGCCCATTTCATTATTTCCTTGAAGAGTAGGATGGATTTAAAGAGTAGCATCTTTTGTTTCCTACACATTGGTTGAAAAATTCAAGCGCAAAACCAAGAAAATAATTTGGTTGAAAGTGTGGTGTGAACTCAGCCATGGTGAAAAAACCAGGGCTGATTCAGTTACCAACTTTAAAAGAAGAACCAGAGTCTTTTGCAGAGGTGTAGAGGTCTGCCTTTTCTTACTGTTCTGTGATTTTAGGGATCATGCCACACACTCATCAGCTTCCTGTCATTTTGTAGGGCATGTTTTCGGAAGGCCTCATGCACGGGCGAGGGACTTACACTTGGATTGATGGAGTGCAGTACGAGGTAAGTACTTAGAGAAGATCAGCTGTCATTGCAACTGATTGCAAATCAGAACAAAGAAAAGAAAACTGGTAACTTGTAAGCATGCAAACTGGACTCCTTGGGTTTAGATGACTTTAGAATTATAATCTTGTCAGAAGGATCAGACCAGACACCTTCTCTTTCCCTGGTTTGTTTCCAAGCTGAAATTCCAATATAACACACCAGACAATCAGTGGAGGTCAAAGAAAATATGTTTATTCAACCCAAAATTGTTAAGTAACTTTGAGTGGGCAGCCGCAATGGACTGCTTCTCCATCTCCCTTTTTATAGGTTTTTTTAGTTTAAGAATTTAGCCAATCATCAATGGAATGGAATGTGTTACCTTATTACAAACAAAAGCTTCCTTATCTTAGAATTAAAGCAGATGCCTCCTTATTTATAGTTAAACAGATATCTCTTTCTCTAGAGCTAAAACAGATGTCTTCTTAAATAGGCATTTTATCTTTCCTCTACATATGTTTTTCTATTCATAAGATATAGGTCTTCCTTTACATGGGCCTCTCTACATGATGTCTCTTTTGTTTCTAATGGAGAAACCAGCTTTTATAAATGACCTTACTGCCGCCTATACAATCTTTCCTTAATTTAAACTTATTGTAAACAAGTAAGAAAAATATTCACTTTTTTGTGAGATGGGCGGTATCTAAATTTGAAATATAAATAAATTAAATAGATTAAAAAATTCTGACCATCTCTTTCTGCCTTTCAGATGTACTACAGCTCCCATTGTCCTCTAAGTAACACAGCCCTTTACTGCTTTTGCAAAAACACTCACCCTTTCAGATGTGATTATTATAACTCTCATTTTCTAATGCTAGAGATGGGCATTGTAATAATCACATTTGAAAGGCACCAGCTTAAGGAAAGCTGACCAAGGGCAGAAATATAGGCGGAAGGGTCATTCACTGAAGTTTCAGCAAAAGCTCATGTTTGGGAAAACGAAGAATAACCACTGAGATTTAAGGACACAGCTTTATTTTGCTCTACAATCATTTGCAGTTCTTTCTTGCTGTTTGGAGGGGGGGAGGTTTATAGAACATGAGTGCATTTAGAATTAAAACCATAATCCATGCTAAAATCTCCGTTTTGCGGATTGGAATGGAAGGCAGATCTCTTTGCTCAATGTTGTCAATTTTTCCTACCTTTCCAGGTGAAATGAAGAGATGTTGGTTTCAGGAGTGGGTTGTTGTTTTTCCTGTATCTTCATCTGTTGTAGGGAAACTTTGTGAAGAACCTGCAAATGGATCATGGCAGTTACAAGTGGCCAGATGGGAGCATGTATGAAGGCGAGGTGAAGAACGGGATTAGACACGGTTTTGGCATGTACAAATGTGGCACCTATCCCGTTTCGTATATTGGCCAATGGGTTGAAGGCAAGAGGCACGGCAAGGTAGTGAAAATGGGGTCACTGAAATCACGGTTGTCATGGCTAGATTCTGTGCAGAAAGCTCTCCTTTGCAGACAGTGGCTGCCAAATCCAGAATCAACTTAAAAATCCTCTTCCTGGCCTGATACAGATTTGCACTTGACTGAATGACTGAGACTGTAGGAGGAGCACCGTGTTAGTTGCACCACACTTAGTAAACCTCAGGAGTCTGGGAGCACCTTCTTCAACTAGCACATTTTATGAAAAGGCAGAAGTTTCATGAGCTGCACATTTCATTCACTGAGGAAGTGAGCTACAGCTCCTGAAAACTTCTGTCTTTTCATAAAACGTGTTAGTCAGAAAAGGTGCTCCCAGACTTCTTCTGATTTCTGGATTCCAAATAGGGGTCTTCTTTTCACACCTTTGAAAACTTGTGTTCAGCCTAGGCCCCCTCTGGTGGATCTACCTCCTATTTCAACTAAAACATCTACCAAAGAAACTTCTCTTGCTGTAGGCCTCAGATGGGCAAGGAACAGCAGAAGAGCTCCAGCAACTGCACACCAGATGATGATGCATGGGGGCTGCTTGGAAAAAATGGACCCTCAGCCCTTTTCATTACTGATACAACTTTGTGCCACTATGAGGCATCAAAGACATCATCTTTGGGTGGCCCTGTAAGCCATCCCCAGGCAGAGATCTTCCTTCTTTAATTATCTCAATCTTAACAACATTCTGTTTATGTACTTAGAACATTTGGACCTGCACATCAGCTGGAAGAGTTCCCTGGATAACTTATAAACCACTTTTAAGGAAAGGAAAACAAGGATCCCCTCTATTAGATCTACAGTCTGAACTAGACATGGCATACATGTGTGCACAAAGATGGGGGAAGAAAAAGAAAATAACCTTTGGGTACTGGTTCTTAGCTGAATATGGTCTTTCCTTCTGCCAGCTACAAAGAGGCCAATCTGACTGATGGATAACTTTTTAAGTGCTTTAGTAATGTAACCATGCCTTCTGCTTGTGTAAAACCTGATGGGCGATACTTAAGCCATCTTAAGTTCATTAACGCATTTGTGCAATTGATTTTTAGGGCACCATTTACTACAACGAAGCAGGTTCTTCTTGGTATGAAGGAGACTTTGTGAACAATATAAAAAGTGGATGGGGGATAAGATGGTAAGATGATAAGCTTGCTCCCCACGTATTTAGTACCTTCTCTGTGGTGAAGTTATAATTTGATGGACACTTTTGGAGGAGCTACAGCTAAGATATTGTTGGCCCTGGATTGCAAAAATCTTCACCCCCCTTTTAGGGAGCTGGTATGTATTTTATCATAATAAAATACAACTCTGGGATTTTATTTTTTTAATTATAAAAGAGGAAATACAGTTTGATGAGCAACCAAGTCTCAGGGCAAAGGGAAGTGATGATAACGCTTCAAACTCTGCTGTGTTCATGAAGAAAACTGCTCATCCATTTTTTTTTTTTTTGAGAGGGAAGCTTATGATGTATGGCATCTGATGTACATTGGACCTCCTATCCCAGAATTTCCAGCAAAAAATGCCTATTTTGGCTGGGGATGCTGGGAGCTGAATATCCATCTGGAAGGTGGTGCCTGGTTGGGAAAGGCTGATCTATCTTAAAATAATGTTCCTCCATGATGATTGTCACATAAATGATTGCTGCAATGTTGACTTCCTTCTCTATCTCCTTGAACAGTTACAAGTCTGGAAATATCTATGAAGGCCAATGGGAGAGAAACCTGCGCCATGGAGAAGGACGAATGAGATGGCTAACATCTAACCAAGAATACACTGGGAAGTGGGTTAATGGCATACAGGTGAGGCCAAAAGGGAACAAGAGCTTAAATTTTACAGGCCTGTTTGCAATTTGTCTTCACTTGTACTAGGTCATCACTGGCCCTTCTGACGTTTATATGCTGTTCCGGGCAGATAAGCAGCCAATACCAGTAAAATGAAACTCAAAAATGCTAAAATTCCAACATTGTATGAGAGAAAAATAACTTTTTCTCTGTTTTCCATGCTATGTGTGATTTTATATACCTCCATCATGTCCCACCTCTTCCAGCACATCTCCTTTACAGGTCATCCTCATTTAGCAACCACAGTTGGGACTGGCAACTCAGTCATTAAGCAAAGTGGTTGCTAAGTGAAACTGCGACGGTGCTTATGATCTGACTTCAGCCTTCCTTTGCTTTACAGACCTGCAAAGGTCATAAATGTGAGGACTGGTCATAAAATTACTTTTCCATCACCATCGTAACTGTGGGGATTACAAGAATGCAGCAAGTCCTAGTAGCTTCATTTTGCCATTAAATATGCAACTTTAAAGTCAGTATTGAATATAAAATTCATCTGGATTTTTTTAAAAATAAAGGCTGAACTAGGTTTGATTAAGAGATGCTATGGACCGGAAACCAGACATTTTCCCCCTTCCTCCAACTATAAATGGTCTTGTATAGACCAAGTCCCTGAGAGACTCTCTAGTTCAGTGTTTCTCAACCTTGGCCACTTTAAGATGTGTGGACTCATGCTGGCTTGGGAACTCTGGGAGTTGAAGTCTATGCATCTTCAAGTGGCCAAGGTTGAGAAACACTGCCCTAGATAATGTTTTGTTGTTTTATTTCCCTAGCACGGGTGTGGTACCCACACTTGGTATCTGAAGAGAATTCCTGGGTCACAGTATCCCCTCAGGAATGAATACGTGGGAGATTTCGTCAATGGCGATCGGCACGGACACGGGAAATTCTTCTTTGCGAGCGGAGCAATGTATGATGGAGAATGGGTTTTGAATAAAAAGCATGGCAAGGTAAACATGGAAAAGTTGGGGTGGGGGGAAGAGTTTCAACATTAGAGCAGCCAACTTGCCTTCTCTAAATATGAAGCAATCCTTGTTTCTCTCTCGTCTTCCTTGTACTGTTTTTTTTTTAATAGTGTCCTTGTCCACACTGCACCCTCATCCTGAGTGAATTTAACTAGTTTATTTCATTAACCCGTTTTCTGGGTTTGTAGAATACAACTAAGTCCCTGGGCTTAGTTCATATTACAAGCTAGGCTGAAAGGTGGTCCACTGGTGGTGATTCAGTCTGTCTTATGGACACGCATTCTAAAACGTTTGAGCGAGGATCCTGCTTCTCATTTATAAATCTCTCTCTATGTCGATATTTTATATTCAGTACATTAAAAGGGATCTGTTATTATGCACCCACTGCAAACAACTGAGGTCCTCAATAGGTCTCCATCAGCGCTTCTCCTGAATTTAGGCGTTTGGTACCTTTCTTTGGGATCTCTGAGCCTCCTCCAATGATTACGGGCAGAATTTTGTAGTGGAAAACCGACCAAGGTTCTAGTTAATTTCTATAATGGGGTTAATACGTCAAATTTATCACAGAGGAAAACAACAGTCAATCTAAGACAGTTTCTTCAAGTTGAACTCAACACTTGGTGGCTTCATGGACACGCTGATCGTTTTCTTGGCCACGGTATGGAAGGCGCTTGCCACTACCTTTTTCCAGACTGTTTTTTGACTTCCCATTCTGTAATGGTATGTGGCAAAGACCTTGGAAGGCTGGGTGAAGAGATGCTGCCTTGGGAATGATCAGATAAGAGAGGGCACAGCTGTACAATAAAGTAGAATGAGCTCATTTGGTCGTGTTTCCTGTCTGGTCTACCTGGTAAGTCTGACATCTAGTAGATGTCAAACCTTATGAGGAAAGACTCTGGGTATTTTAGCCTGAGGAAATGTAATGGCATGTAGGAAAGACCTTGGGAGACAAGGCAGAGAGATGCTGCCTAG